AAAAAAAAAAAGAAAAAAGGCAAAATACGAAAAAGAAATCTTCCAAGACCGCCAGTCCTGATTTAGACTGGATACCAATTTCACCGCTTCAGATCTATGATGCCACGGGATTATAGGGGTCGGTCTCATAGCCGGCTTGCCACTGGTATAGTTGCGGGACTAACCTGAAGGATGTGTGAACTTCCCCATCGGGGTATCAAAGTGGCTGCACGCAGTGGCAGTACGGAGACGGGGTTTCAGTTCTATTACGCAGCGCATTCACCGTCCCTCAGGTCTCCTCAGGTTTAAAAGACTCGAGTCGCGCCCGATAATACCTCTTCGAAATCATTCTGGCCCACTACATCACCTTGATCCTTCACCATGGGCATCCCTCACCATGAAGGGACCTCCCACGAGAGGCCCAAGCCCTTGTCGCCAGAACAGTTGATCGCCCGCTTCGGTCGTCTTCATCTGCTGGATGACTTGATCCGTCTACGGGCAGCGGACCCCATCCAGCATCCTATCCTTGCCTACCCCAAACCCTCCCAAGACGATACGGTGGAGTACGAGTACTTCTCCGGCTTGGACCTGGATTGCATGGTTGATCAAGCCGTGTGCACCTTGATGGACTATGGCTTCAAGCCAGTAAGTAACCACCAATGTCTAGCAGGGCTAAGCTGACCGAATAACAGCCCCGTCAGGATGGAGCCATCGTCGCGCTGTTCACGCTCTCCGACTTGAACATGGTCGTCACATTCTTTGCCCTGAGCCGACTAGGCTACACGGTCATGATGCTGTCCCCGCGTCTGTCGGCGTCCGCCTGCGTGGCCCTGCTCGACATGGTCGGCTGCGACACCATCCTGTACGGCCAGACGCCCAGCATCCGCACCACGATGGGGGAGATCCTGCGTCTGAAGCTGGTGGCCTGTCGCCCCATCGTGCAACGGCCCTCGCTGGACGAGGATATCGAGGAACCGGCCATGCTGGTGCTCCGCCGCAGCCGCAGCCCGGAGACGCAAATCCACAAGATCGCCCTGATCCTGCATTCCTCCGGCTCAACCGGCAACCCCAAACCCCTGTACCTCAGCCACAAGGCCCTGATGACCCATCCCATGCGTGGCCCCGGCTACACCTCCTTCAACTCCCTCCCGTGGTTCCATCTCCACGGGCTCTCCACCGCCCTCCAGGCCATGTACATGCGCCGCACCGCGTACATGTGGGATGCCTCGCTTCCGTTGACCGCCAGCACGGCGGTCGCTGCCCTGGAGGCCGCCCGTCCGGAGTCCGTGCAGGGCGTGCCCTACCTCCTCCAGCTCTTGGTCGACAGTCCTCGGGGCTTGCAGGTCCTGCGCCGCTGCGACTCGGTCACATACGGAGGAGCCCCCTGTCCGGATGAGCTGGGCGATCGGCTGGTTGCAGAGGGGGTGAAATTTGGCGGGTCTTTTGGATTGTGAGTTTTCCGTCCCGACGGATGTTTGTTTGCTGTTGCTGATGGCCAATATACAGAACGGAAGCCGGACTCGTGGCCGAGTCGATCTCCCGCCCCGCCGACGATCCTTACTGGAACTACATGAAGTTCTTCGACAACATCCGCCCCTTCATCTGGATGAAGCCCATTGGCGATGATCTGTACGAAGTGGTCTATCTCCAGGGACATCCCGCCCTGACAGCCTCGAACTCCGACAATCCGCCTGGTTCGTATCACTCGCGCGACGTCTTCACGCCCCACCCTACCATCCCCGATCGGTGGAAGTACGTCTCGCGGATCGACGATCGGATCACGCTGGTGAACGGGGAGAAGGTTCTCCCCCTTCCCATCGAGGGTCGCATCAAGCAGAATCCCCTGGTCGACGAGGCCGTGGTGGTGGGCGTGAGCCAGTCGGTGCCGGGGCTGCTAGTCTTCCGGGCGGACGGCTCGCACCGCTACTCGGACGCAGAGTATCTGGACCTCGTGTGGCCCACGGTGGAAGACGCCAACGCGCACGCGGAGCAGTTCTCGCAGATCTCCCGCGACATGGTCGTGGTGCTGGCCGCCGACCGCGTCGTGCCCCGCACGGACAAGGGGTCGATGATCCGCGCCCAGGTGTATGCGCGATACGCCGATGTGATTGAGGGGATGTACACCCGCACGGAGCAGGACGCGCACGGCACGCTGCAGCTGGACCTGCAGGCCACGGAGGAGCATCTGCTGCGTCTCTGCCGCGAGGAGCTGGCCATGCCCCGCATCGGCCTCGAGACGGACTTCTTTGCCGACGGCATGGACAGCCTCAAGGCCATGCATCTGCGCCGCCTGATCCTGCGCGACTTTCGCTTGCAGAGCAGTCGCAGCATCAGCCATAACATCGTGTTCGAGACCGGCAGCATCGCCCGTCTGGCGGAGTGCATTTCCGCGGCGCAGAGCGGGCACGCCGATGAGGGTGGGGCCGCGGACGAGGACGAGCTGGCCTTGATGCCGGGGCTGATCGAGAAGTACTCGTCGGGTTTTCCGGCGCACACCCCTCGTCCTGAGGAGGTGTCCAACACTCGGAGCGTTGTAAGTACCCATCCCCACAAACAGCCTTACTCCCCGTGTCTAACAGAACGTCCCAGCTGCTCACCGGTCCAACGGGCTCCATTGGCGCGCACACGCTCTACAAACTCGTCAACGACGACAGCGTGTCGCGCATCTACTGCCTCACGCGGCGGACGGACGCAAAAGCCTCGATCCTGGACTCCCTCGCCCACAAACACCTAGCCATCCCAGCCTTCCGCACGCAGAAGATCGTAGCCCTCACCAGCGCTCTCGACCAGCCGCACCTCGGCCTCGACGCCACCGTCTACAACGAAATGCTCCAGTCCGTCTCGCTGATCATCCACACCGCATGGCCCGTCAACTTCAACCTCCCGCTCAGCGCATTCGAACCCCACATCCGCGGCCTGCACAACCTCCTCCGCTTTTCGTTACAGGTTGCCCTCCCGTTCCCAGCAGTACTACTATACTGCAGCTCGATCTCCACGGCCCTAGGCTCCTCGCAGCCCACGGTCCCCGAATCTCCCATCGCCAACTTATCCAGTGCCCTAGAAATGGGCTACGGCCGCTCGAAGCTGATCGGCGAGCGCATCGTCAGCGCGGCACGACGCACGGCCGCCGCCCGCGCGTTCTCGCTCCGCATCGGCCAGGTCTCCGGCCACTCGAAGCGCGGGCGGTGGAACGACGACGAGGCCCTGCCGCTGATGCTCCGCTCCGCGCTGACGCTGGGCTGTCTGCCCCGGTTGGACGGGGTGCAGTGCGCGTGGCTGCCGGTTGATAAGCTCGTCGCGGCTGTGTTGGAGATCGCGCGTGTCTGCTCGCATACGCCGCCTTCGTCGCGGCGGGGGTCTTTCTCGTCGGAGACTGATTCGGATGCGGGGAGTGTGGATGGCGAGATGGACGATTCCGTGTACAACCTGACGAATCCGCATCGGTTTGGGTGGGAACAACTGTTGGCCGGGTTGAGGAAGTGCGGGTTTGATGGGTTCCGGACGGTGGGGTTTGGGGAGTGGTTGGCGCGGTTGCGGGAGAGTGAGGCGCGCGGCGAGGAGGGAGTTAATCCTGCGGTCAAGTTGGTCGGGCATTATGAGGCGATGTATGCGGACGGGAGAAAAGAGCCGGGGTTCTGTACGGACCGGGCGGAGCGGGATAGTGTGACGTTGCGGAATGGGAGGTTGCGGATCGTCGAGGATGGGATTTTGAGGCGCTATGTGAGTGATTGGATGGGGAGGTGGCCTAGACCTTAGTGTGTGGCGTGGGTTCTTCGATGTTTATATTTTGTTTGTGCTGTACAGATTTTGGGTGGGTTGGTTTGCTGCTTCTGTTGTGGATAGAGAGATACCATGGTGGATGCTATTCATTTTGTTAATCGAATCAAGTTGAATTGTCACTCTAATCATCGCAGTGTTCAAATGCAACGGATTGAGGAAACACTGAAGAATAAACAAAGCATCGCGAAGGGTACAGTACATACAGTCTGCACTGCACAGCAAAGGCACCCGGCTAAGCGCAACCGGAGTAAATCCGATCCGAACAGCTCCTCCGCTCCCGCAACCGATGATCTCACTCGACCTCCATCCAGCTTCAACGTCACCGTCACCCACTCACTCCCACATCCTCCCTCCGTCTTCATCATTCCCCCCCTCGCGCACAACAAAATGGGTCTCATCCGCCGCGCCCTCAAGCTCACCACCCTCGGCGGCACCGCCACTCTGGGCGCCTTCTTCTTCGCCACGCGCAACTCCACCTTCGTCCCTCTCCCGACCACCGACCCCATCTTCCACACCCCGGGCTACCAGACCCTGAATCCGCACAACAACCCCACGAGCCACGACCTGTGCATCCGCCGCGTGCGGCTGGCGGACATCAATCCCTCGCTGCTGGAGAAGAAGGGCAAATTGACCGAGGCGTTCTGCGCGGGCGTGTGGAGTGGTTGGGGTGAGTGCCTTTCCTTCCTTTCCCTGTACTTTGCCCAGGGTACCCAGCTAGCTAGGTAGCTAGTAGCTAGCGCATCACCCCTTCTCCTTCCCCATCCCCCAGTCCCCGCACACCATCCAAAACTGACATCTGGATCAATGTGAAGGATACGCCTACCAACGCCGCTACCTCTCCAAGAAATACGAATCCCCAGCCACAGCGACGGACCTGTGGACCCGGGAGCAGCTGCGCTCCGCCAACTACGAGGTCGGCACGCGCATCACCGACCACTTCGAGGTCGTGGAAAAAACCCCCGAGCGGATCGTGGTGCGGTGCGGCGATTCCCCCCGCAAGACCGGGGTGCGCGACTCCGACGGGCTGTTTGAGATCTCGGCGGTGGTCAAGCCCGAGGAGGGGGTGGCGGAGTTTGGGTTGAAGAGTGTGTTCTTTAAGGGGACGCCTTCTGAAAATGCGGGGGGGCCGCCTATGCCGGCGCATGTGTTTTGGTTGCATAAGCAGTATACGAAGTTGTGGATGGAGACGGGGGTGTGGAATGTTTTGCGGTAATGGGGGTCTGAGAGGAGAGGGTTGAGGGGGTTGGTATATACCTTGGTTCCTTGGGTGGATGTACGGGTGGTAGATGTAGATGTAGATGTGGGATTTTAACTGAAGGTCTATTTAGTGTCAGTGAAGTTAGATTACGCTCTCAACCATTGGGTCAAGGTGTGGCCTATTTATTTTCTGGATTATGTGGCCATGTGTCCAGGAAGTAGTCAACCTGTCAGTTAGTAATAAGTCTAACGTTACTGTGCAGAAAACGTGGGATGTCAGCTTACCCGGACAGAAACCCGCCGGAATTGGCCCGACCCCCGCACGGGATGCAACAGCTTCAATAAACCCCCACGTTTCCCCGCCCCGGTCAACTCCATATATCTGAAATTCTGAAGTTCCTGCAGGCGTCTGCACTTGTACACTACAACAACCTCACAATGTCTGACAAGATCGAAGTCCTCCTCTTTGGCCTCGGCGCGTGAGTATCCACTATTCCAGGATGAACAGAATTGACTGAATCAAAACCAGCATCGGCTCCTTCTACGCCTTCATCCTGTGCAGCTGTCCCCGCGTGCGTCTGACGGTCGTCGCTCGCTCGAACTACGCCGCCGTCAAGGAGAATGTACATCCCCTTTTCTTGCGCCTTTCGCTGAATTGCAAGACTAACAACTGACCGGATAGGGCATCCTGCTGAAAAGCGCCAACCACGGCGAGCACCGCTTCCACCCGGACCACGGTGAGCATTACCCACCTCCCCACCCACCGCAGCCCGCGAGAAAAGCCTGGACACTAACGACAGCACAGTGATCCGCTCGCCCTCGGAACTCAGCCCCGACTCCGCCCCATTCGACTACGTCGTCTGCACGAACAAAGCCATCGACGTGGACAGCGTCGCCCGCGCCCTGGCGCCGGCCATTTCGGGTAGCACCGCGATCGTGATCATCCAGAACGGCGTGGGCAACGAAGAGCCGTTCCGGCGGCTGTACCCCGAGAACCCGATCATCTCGTGCGTGGTAAGTATACTCCCTACCCTTAAGCCCATCTGGTCCCACACCCCCGGAATACTACCCCCACCAGACACTGACACTGACACTGATATGAATTAGACATGGGTAGGAGCCCACCAACCCACCCCCGGGGTAACAACGCACACGACCTCCGAAGCAACGCAACTGGGCCTCTACGCGCCCACCAGCCCATCCGCAGTGCCCAGCCTGTCGACATTCATTGACATCCTGAGCACGCCGGAGAACCCGCATCCGACGCCGCTGACGCCACTCGCGCCGGACGCCTTGCAGCGCACCCGCTGGGAGAAGCTGATGTGGAACTGCGCCTGGAACACGCTGACCAGCCTGACGGCGCAGGACTGTCAGGCCTGGTTGCGGTCCTCGGACGAGGCGCTACCGCTGACGAAGCGGCTGATGCGCGAGGTGGTCAGTGTGGCGCATGCGTCTGGCGTGGCGTTGCGCGAGTCCTTGGTCGAGGAGCAGATTGCTCGCATGCAGGGGCTGGGAGCTGCGAGGACGAGTATGCAGACTGATCGCGAGATGGGGCGGCGCATGGAGGTGGATGTTATTATTGGGACGGTGGTGAAGGGGGCGAGAAGGGTGGGGGTTGATGTGCCTGTGCTGGAGACGGTTTATGCGTTGATAAGGGCGGTGGATGGGTTGGCGGGGGCTGGTACTGGAGGTGGGGCTGGGGCTGGGGAGGTTAGGGGGAGAATGTAGATTGTGGTTGGAACGGGTAAGGCTGGGTTGATATGGTGGTGGGGGTGGTGTTTTGCTCGTTGTTGGTAGTTGCACAGTGTGCGGTTGGAATATGATAGAATTGAACCGAATGTGAAATCTTGTGTGAATGGTTGTTGCCGGATTGACTAGCACCGACAAGACCACTGGATTAGTACTCATTGACTGATGGTTAATGACTTCGTCTTAGTAAGGGAAAAGCTCGTCGGACCCTGTTGCCGACTGCCCAGGGGATGCTGATGTAGCTTGTTGTTTGCGAGCCGATACCATCCGCCATGTAAATGAGCGGTACAAATAGCATGTTAGGTACAAGTCTGCGGCAGAAGAGGACGAGAATAGCCCACCGGCTCATCACTCGGGCTCCGCCCCTTGGTTCGTAGAAGACTTGCTCCGACGGAAAGGATTTCCGCCAAATACACGGTCAAGAGCATGCGCTGCTATTTGTGGCTGATTCCATTTAAAAGGTGCATGGCGTTGTCTCAATTGCGTTGAGCGTCCATTAGCATTGCCGTTGCCAAAACCTTCGTGTCATGATTACGGCCACCAAATGCGCTAGGTCCGGTCTCAGAGCGAGATCTGGCCCTGGTGGAATATGTACGACGATAATCGCGGGTCTGGACGAAGGGCTGTGGAGATCATGTGATGGCAGCCTGCCTTATGAAGCGTCTAACAAAGAGCATGACATGTTGAAAGCTTGGCTTTTGCAGCACCACAGCCAGAGCTCATTCCGAAATTCAAAGTTACTATGGCTTTCTCAGTTCTCAGACGTCACAGTTGAACATATCTTCAACATGCACAATCGCAATGCACAGTTCGCAAGATAATCGCTGCAACCCCCAGGCAGAATCGGCAAGAAGATCTAGCACCGATGTATCTGACCATGATGTCAGTATCCCAACAGGGGCATTCGATGGAGAAAAAGCGAAGAACAAGCATTCGGCACGGACCAGGCTCCACGCTCACTTGATCGGCCCCACGCGCGGGAACGGTGGGCGGTTGCGGGCTCGGCAAGGCCCCGCCACGGTGGAGCCGATCTAGCGATGGGTCCTCCGTAATTACAAGATCTATTTCAGCTTTACATACGTTGTATGATTAGGATTAGGGGTCAGACTAGATTACACGTTACATACCGCTAAGAATGTATTACGTGACCTTTCGTCAGTCTGGGGTAACTGGTAAAGGCAATTTTATGCTATAATAAGTTTAAACAGATGCGAAGCATATCTAGGATATACCAAAACCATGTGATTTTGTCACAGAACATATGTTACATACAATGTTTGAAATTGTCTTAATTTTCATCAGTGACGTTACCCATCGCTAAGCCCATAAAATTATCGCCCGGCTACCGGCTTCTGAACCCTAACGGGAACTATACAACAGCCAGCTCGGAATACTCGGAATTGTATGAGGAGGTAGGCAGACTGGTTATAAGATGTAGGGGCTGATGCGTCGATCTATGAGAAGAGACCGAGTCTCTTCAGTATCAGACAAAATGATTCATCGAAATGGCTTGATCTGGGCTGTTGTCGCGGCTGTGAGAGTTTGATGTTATCACCATCTACGTACAGTACTTGATTAGTCCCATTGGTAATACCTGGTACTACATAGTGCCGCCCCGGAACTGCACATCTCCTACTGAAAGTCCCGGGGCTGTCTTTCAACTGACCTTGCATCCCTTGTCCTCGCTATTTCTCGAGGAACGAACTTCAAAACATCTATTTGTCTCTATCAGGATGAAGTTTCCTACTGCTCTGATACTCATCAGCGGTCTCACAGCCGATGTCCCGGCTGCACTACTTCAGAGCCCTGCCACGGGCAGCGTGGATACCACCGCCCCTCGGTAAGTGACCCCCTCCGTGATCGCAGTCATATGAAGGTTTCCTGGGATATGGAGTATTGATGTGTCCGGATGCAACGAGAAGCCCGTGGGTCCCATCTCTGGCGCTCTGCCTGGAGTCCACCTACCACCTCTCCTTGGCGAGAGGGCACTCTCCTCCGAGCAAAAGACCACGGCCTCATCCCGGGAGCAGCGCCGGGGGATCTCAGGGCCCATTGAAGAGGTAGTCTGCGACGAATCTGGCGTCTGCATTTGACGTTTGGTGGAGTAGCGTTGGGTCTCGAATTGTGACTAGCTTAGTGGTAGTCATAATCATGTTCAAATGGTCTATTGTATGTATTGGAAGATTATGTCTGTCCTCATGTCATGCGGACCTTAGCTGGAGCAAGAGTTGTGCTTGGATGTACGGAGTAGAGATGGACGGTAAGAGAGATCGCGATCGTGAGGTGATATAACTTAGGGCGCGAGGTCAACTTTGCCGGTATGGCTTGGCATCTTGCCCGCGCCATGTTGATCCCGCTGACGAGGATGTGATATATTCGATAATGTAACTCTAAATATGCTAAGAAAAATGGTCGGCGCATCGTATAACCGGGCATCGACACTCGTATTTCCGCACAGAGCTCGGAATTAGCGTGTCTACTCTTTGACGTGCAGAAATGTTGTGACTGTCCCTAGATACAGGGATTGTCTGGTCAAACAGATACAGCTATCCCTTATATAAGGCGTGGTAGCAGAGATGCGCGCAGGTAATACCTAAATCTAATGATATGCTATGTAGATGATCAGCCACCCTTGCCTCTTCGATAGGTTGGATTGAGTCTAATTGTCAATAGTCATGTATAACCCCCTCTGATCGTGCACTCACAACAACAGGTCCAGGAGGTCGGAGTAGTATTTAAAAGACGTCCTTGTCCATTCCTCTCGGAGACTGTACTCCGTCCAGATCTCATTCCATCTCGAGCAACGATGAAGCTCACTACTGTCTTCTTCAGCGGTATTGCGGCCGGCGTCTGGGCTGCACCGTTTCCCTCCACCGGGAACTTGGATGGTCTAGGATGAAGCACGATTGCAATCATTCAAGTGTACAAGTGATGTTTCTGCATGCCAAGGGAAACTGCGTACCATGATACCTTGTCTGAGATCACTTGTGAGCAATGGGATATAACTCCCTGTGTACCCAGTGTCCAATGCTCTTGACCTCGGCTTAAGCTACTCATATAGACTGATCCTAAGTCAAATCCATGCATACTGCCTGCCAACAGCCTCCTCAGACAGGAATTACCTACCAGGGGTGACGGAGAAATAGAAGAGTTGCTGATTATAACATTGTATTAACATAGAATGAATGCCCGGTGCACTACTCTGCTTATGCCATCCTACAGACCTTTGTCTCAGCTGCAATGTCATCATATATGCTGCCGAGATTTGGAATTTGGAATACATCAAGCACAGTCAGACACTGCAGAGTCAACCCCCAAAAATGTCTTCTTGGAGCAGAACTCAAGAAAAATGGCGGAAAAATAGTACGCCTCTGGGGAGATTGAGATAACGCTGGGTTATGTGCCTGTTTAGTGAGGAGAATGACCGTGACGATGTTTATGGTGATGATGCGAGGTGGGCTCGCGCTTAATAATCGCAGCGGAAGACTCTGCAGGTCTTTGTGTCTGAAGGAGTTTCATTGTGTCAGTAGAGTGGTTCCAGGCACGGAAAAGAGGATGGACAAGGAGAAAAGGCCTAGGGAACTCACTGCAAATAGAGACGAAGTTGGGATTGAGGAGGCAGAGGGAACAGCACTCGACGAGACCGACGAGACTGCTGCTGGCCTTTGACAGCTTCCAGACACAAATAGCGGATTATAGTCCTTGGAGACGGGCTGCTCGCGATACTGTTGGCATTCCTGCCCCGAGGTAGAGTATAGCCAGGCTTGACACGCGGACATTGTGGCACATTGAGCGGCACAGGCAGAGGCATTGGTCACCTGTCGAGAGACTGCAACCGCTCCATGACTGAAAAATGAGATAGTATCCTCGATGACTGAATGGGTGCAAGGAGCTCGCGGTTGTGGTGGGACCGAAGCACTGGCTCCAAGAGCTAGCAGTGTAGCAAGACCTGTGGCACGAAAGAGCATGGTGAGGAATTAAAGTGAAGGGAAGCAGCTTGTTAGAGAGGAATACGTCAAAAGACACCTAATAAGTGATGAAAGCTCTAGCCGTCAGAAAGGGGCTGACATGTGCTGTAAATATCTGTCATAGGCATGTTCAAATTGTTTCTCTAGACTCTAGTATTACTAGTATATACAGTATTGGGGTAAGGAGCTAAGTTAGTGTCAAAAAAAGAGAAAAAAAGAAAAAAAAAAAAGAATACTATACGCTCAAGCGAAGTCCAGGAACCGAGCATGCTAGGAACGGTGGTGGCGGAAATATCGGCAACAGCCGCCGTTGAGCAGGGGCCGGAAATTGTCCGGTTCCGCTCCACCCTCAGTCAGAGGCGGGTCTGAAACAAGTCCCTTATTTTTTCCAATAGTCTTAATTAGTCTTTCTTGGCTTTACCTTGGCTTGCAGGCCCTTTTAAGAGCCAAGGCAGCAGCATCTGAACAGTTTTCTACCTCTTTCATCAGCTTTGTACCGTCAATTATACCTGAATAGCTGTTTTCATCCCCAAAATATGGACCCCTTCAGCACCCTACCTCATGAGCTCCTATCTTCAATCAGCGAGGAAGCCGCTGATTGGGTTGGGCTTGACAGCCTGATTCGAGTTTCGCCACGCATCGCCGCGCTGTTCATTCCCGAGCGAGGTTCGGATCAAGCCCACCCCGATGCCATCTACCTCGTTGAGAACATCCTGCGCACAAATTCTATGATGAGTCATCGACTGCATCGGTTCTTCCGGATGTGTGCGGATCTCCGAAGCCCTACCTTCTCTTCCGGATGCAATTTGACCCTAGCCGAGTTTATGGCGCAAGACTACTCCTCACCTCTGAGCTCCACTTCTGTGACCGGCACTGTGCTGCGGGACATGGTTCGGGTCGCAGCCAACATCCAGCGACTGGCCTGCGCCTGCTTAACCACCTTTCTGGCACGCATCCGAGCGGTGCAACCAATAGGCTACGGGAGGGATGCGGCCGGGAAGCTAAAGGGGGGAGAGCCATACCCAGCGCAAGAAGCCGGTCCTCCATCGTGGGCAGAAGAATACCGTGTTTACCGAGCCTTGTGGCATCTTCAGCTGTATTCGGATGTCTGGACAGTCGTCCTTCAGCCAGGCTGGTCTCCCAGCGAGCTCCATCTCCATCTACGAGTCTCGGACTTTGATGTCCCTTCCGAAAGGGCTGAACACGGGCCAACACAAGATGAAGAACCCACTGGGGATGAGATGCGGGCTGTATCGGAGTGTCTGCAGGATATTTGTCCGGAACCAAACTTGTCGGAACCCCTGATTGCGAACCTCGAAAGCTTTCACCTGCGGTTCTGGCTGGAGTTGCCGGATGCATTGTCACTCAGGCGCCAGGATCCCACAGGCAGCGACGACTGTCAAGCCAGTGCCTTCCGTGGCTTCAGGGTCTGGAGTCCTCCACCACTCCCACCATCCGACGAGGATAAGTGTAAGCCTGTTTTGGGGCAATGGGCCAACACTATCCCTGCTATGCAGGAACGAAACATCGGAAATCTCTGGTTCATGCTACCGACGTATGAGGCATATGGACGCCCTGCTATGTTCCAAACAGGCTCTCTTCTAGATCCTCGACCACTACTCGGACTGGGATTGGTTTTCTGGGACCGATGGAGGCTCTACAACCTAGGTCTTTGGTCAGCAAGCCCTAGTAATGGGCAAACCAGAAAGAATTGCCCTGTTGTTACAGGTCCTGACGGAAGCCAGGTCCCGGTAGATTATATGCCGAGATTGAAAGACGGAAGAGAAAGAAATTATCGATGGTCTGAATTTGCTGCAGCTCGCTTGGCACAGGAGGAACAGGAGGTGCAGGAGGCAAGGAGTAGTCTGGCGGCTCAATGACAGGTATCTCGTCTTCTAAACCGTACCATGTCTAAATGGTCGGATTATTTAATAATAGTCGGTAGATGAAGGTTATAGAGTTAGATTTTACCATCTCCGTCGAGGCGAATGGGCATTTCACTTGACTGTCACAGACAACACGGCAGTGGTCCTATCCGCAGTTTTGCCCCCGGCTCACCCACGCAGAGCTGCGAGATTCTTCAACTGAAAAGCCATATGATACCAATCCTTTCCATCGCCATGGCCTGTGGTCCTCCAGACTGTAACCTGGACTGGCCTTTTAGTTTCCCTTCCATCCATGAATTGTTGCTTGTGATTGATGAGGAGCCAACCGATTCCGCCGCCATTCGGAGTACCTAGCAGCGCAAGCCCTTCCCGGTTGATATACTCTCCTGACTTAGATTGCTTACTGCTGATCTTGAAGGTAGTTCCGGGCCAGACAGGAGGAGACCCCCCGCACACTTCGTGGATAATTGCTCTGGTATCGTCATTGAGCACGTGGGTGCGCACAACATACTGAAGGCCATTGATCGCACCCCCTTCCTTCGCCAGTTCTCGATAGGCGAGAAAAACGATATCGGACCATCGTTTCAAAGGAGGAAAGATTTTCGTATTTTTCTTCGAAGCAGGCCCCCAATTCGTCTCCGCCACGATGACCCCTCTGCGAACACTCATCGGATTACCGAACTCCATATTGGTCTATGTAGAAGTCGTAAGTAAGGTCTTTCAGGACAAGAAGGCCCGGCACGGGCACGTCTCCCCCCTCTAACAAGAAGGGGTAAAGCGGTCAGGTTCCCCCTCACCTGTATGGGTCCTTCATTCTGATGGAAAAGCTTGCCGACAAGATTACCATCTGCTCCTCCGTTGGTAGAGACAGTGGAGGGCAACCCCAAAGCTTGCAGCGCTGGTCCAATCGATTCTTCGCTAGTAAATGTATCGTAGTACTGCTCTGAGTAATATTCCTCAAGATCGGCATATGTGAAGCTGGGATTGGGCTCATCGCTGAGGGTCCACACGCCTGCGCTGCGACAGTAGAGTCCGCGCCCCTTCAAAATGGCTCCTTCGAGGGTGAGCGGGTCTTTCTCATCTTCGGCACGGCTCTGAAGCTGAAAATTGCGCTCAGCAATACTTATATTTGAAGCTTCTGCCCACCCGAGTGATAAAGTACCCGACTCCACATCGCGGCCTTGTAGGCTCAGTCGACTACTCCCGGCCACCTGAAAGCTCTGGTGTACCAAGAACAAGCAGACCAGAGCAACGAGCCCCAAGAAGCACTGTCGGAGGACCGCTGGAGTAGCCATTGCAGTTAAGCCGTTGGGTGCTAAGCTTCAAGAATTATCCGGATGTCTCGACACCGAGATGATATAATGAGAGTATGCAGTGTGTGATAAAAGAAAGGACAATGTTCAACGAATGGCACTGTGAAAACAGAGAAAACGAGAGAATGGACAGAAAGAAACCTTTCAAAACTCGCAAGCCAGGCGCTCAATGTGATGCAAGCAAACCAGGGAGGCTTTGGGCTCTGCCTCTGAAGCTGCCGATGTTGTGGTTACTCTTATATGGTGGGTTAGGCTTATGGCGGGCTACAAGCATATGGTGGCACGCTCTCGTCTATGCATGCCTCTGACTCCCTTCCAGGCTTAATTCCACCATCATTGAGTTCATTCCGCATTTCTCGGTATTAACTTGCAAACCTTCATTGAGCTAGGACCAATGCGGATAATGAAGCCCAGAGCTTTCGAAAGGTGCAAGACACACTATCTCCATCACCGACTCCGCGCCGTAGTCAGCCGGTTGGATTGCGCGATTTGTTCTCCTTTGTGGCCCCGCATTTCAGCACAAAACGATAGTGGTTGAGACGGTGCTATCCACCATCTTGGAAGAAGTAGATTTAGGGGTTCCATCGCAATGTTCAGTAGCTGTCTCGGTGGCAGCTGCCTAGACGTCGGGAAATTGAGAGTGGGTAGATTGGCCCACAGATGTTGGAGTATGGGGCTTGAGCTGGTATTGAAAGCGTTATACGATAAAATTGTACCGTGCACAGTTCGACTTAGCTGTAATCTATCAGTAGCACTAGAGCCTAGGGAATACAACAGCAAACCAGGGTCTCCATAAAGGGGGTTTAGAATCATCCAAGACTCCATCCCCTGGGACTCTCATTGGACCGGCTAAAGAGCACCAGTTGTCTTCGAGTCATGCAATATCAAATTTGAATGAGCTTGCAAGAGGAAAGACAAACCCTAAGTGCGAGACCTATTTCTCTCAAATAGTGGTCGAAGTGGCAACACTGTCCGGTCCGCCCAAATACTGCTGATTGGACACAATTCAACTGAAAATGTCAGTACTGTCCGACTTTTCTCCTTAGGGGCATGCGAAAAAAAAACGATGGACTGGGTTTTGCCCAATTAGGATATCGATGTATGAAGCTAAAGTAGGTGAGATGGACTAGTGCGAGCCTTTGGGTTATGGGCATACATTAGAAGTCGGCAATAGCTTCAGCACCGGAATCACACAGCATTGTTTCCTTTATTACCTAATGTAATTGTGTAGAATGCTAAGATAATTTGCAGGTGGAAGGAAGGGTGCTGATGTGTAGATCGAAGAAAATGCATATTAAAGCGCCCCCAGCCTCCTCCAATATTGTCCAGTGCGGTTCAAGCGTCCTTCATTCTTTCCTTTAGTCGCTTCTTCAGTCATTCGTTCATAATATTGTCTGGGAGTTCTCGTGCATTGAAATCCTGCAATCTTATCAATGCTTTTCGCTACATTCCTTCTGCTGCAGCTATGAAGATTCTCCCTCTGTTGGTACTCCTGCTAGGTGTCCAACATGTGCAATCTCGTGCTGTGTTCGCTCATTTTATGGCAGGTGTTACCGTCACAGACATAGAAGAATCTCTCCCAACTAACTATCAATGTGTGACAGGTCACCAACTCCCAAAACTACACGACGAGTGATTGGACCAATGATTTCAATCTGGCCCTCGAAGCCCACCTGGATGCGTTTGCCATGAACATGGCTTATGGAGATGCAACCAATGAAGCATCGCTTGCTGCAGCCTTTTCCGCGGCGGAAAGCGTTGGCTTCAAACTGTTTTTCTCCTTCGACTATGCAGGTAATGGTGCGTGGCCGAAGGAGGTGGTAATCTCATATATCACAAAGTATGCTGCGAGCAGTGCCTACTTCCAGCACGGCGGGCAGCCATTTGTCTCCACCTTCGAGGGGCCCAACAATGCCAATGATTGGGTGGATATCAAGGGTCAGACAGGTTGTTTCTTCATCCCCGACTGGTCTTCCGTTGGAGCCAAAGCAGCGATGGCCAAGGGTGTGGCCGACGGGCTCTTCAGCTGGGCCGCATGGGCCTGGGGAGGCCAAGAGATGAACACCTATGTGGATGCTTCCTACCGGGACTATCTGAAAGGTCTGCCCTATATGATGCCGGTCTCCCCGTGGTTCTATACGAACCTCCCTGGCTACAACAAGAATTGGCTATGGCGGAGTGACAATCTGTGGTACGATCGCTGGCAAGAGGTCTGGTATTTGCAACCGGAGTTTGTACAAATCATTTCTTGGAATGATTACGGAGAGTCCCACTACATTGGGCCGGTCTACGAGAAGTCTATGGCGGCCTTCGATATTGGTCGCGCACCCTTCAATTACGTGAAGAACATGCCGCATGATGGATGGCGCGCTCTACTACCCTTCGTGATTGATATGTACAAGTCAAACACGACTGTTATTGTGAATGAAGGACTAGTGACCTGGTTTCGACCCCAACCAAGGGCAGCGTGCAACGACGGCAATACCACGGTCAATACCGTTAGTCAACTCCAGATTGAGTCTCTTCCCACCGAAGTAGTCGAAGACCATGTCTTCTTCTCAGCCCTTCTGGGCAGGAAGGCCGACGTTTCAGTCACAGTTGGTGGGGTTGTTGTGAGTGGTGTAAAGTGGCTGCATACACCGGATGGGGGTGCAGGCATGTATCACGGCAGTGTTGCCTATCCGAACACTGGTGATGTGGTGGTGACCGTTTCTCGCAACGGGGAACTGGTAGCTCAGGTCTCGGGGGGCTCCATTACCACCACCTGTACTGACGGATACGAAAACTGGAATGCTTGGGTTGGTAGTGATGTCTCACCCGCGCTTGACTTGAAGATCCCACGCCCTATCGGTACCGATGTGTGTGTCGAGGGTACTGGAGTGGGCAACTTTGCTGGCCTTTGCGAATTTGCCTGCAAGTACGGATATTGTCCGGTGGGAGCCTGTTATTGTACTATGGTCGGAGAGCAAAGAACCTTGCCTAATGCCACCGGTATTACGGGCTATCCAGCCACAGGAGAGGATGCCAATTACAGTGGACTGTGCAGCTTTACATGCAACTATGGATATTGCCCTGAAGGCGCATGTGCTACAGTCAGCTCGCCATTGACAATTCCTAGCAGCTCCCCCTTCACTCCTTCCGCCTGCGTGGCCGGAGCAGGCGAAGGCAACCTCGGAGGATTGTGTTCCTACGCCTGCAACTTTGGTTACTGTCCAATTCATTCATGTACGTGTACGGCAGAAGGGGTGCTGGTCGACGCTCCGGCGGCCAACTCCAGTCTTACAGGGGTTCCGGTGTCTACTGTCGATTACAACCAGTATCATGGCTTGTGCGACTTTGCGTGTAGTCGAGGGTACTGTCCGGATGGTGCCTGTGAGTTACGGTCCACACTGGACCCTTCCACTGGTTCGACCGGACATGACTCCTCCAGCTCGTCCTCAACGTCTAATATCTCTAACGACACAATCGCTTTTGTTGGGTCAGGCGTCTGGGAAGATCCCTACGCCGACTGCCCTTTTCCATGCACGATAATTTTCCCTGACATGAGGCTGGGAAGTCCGACAATCATTTACCCTCCCCCATACACCACGACATTGCAGGTGGAATGGCAGGGCAGCAGTGTAACGACGCAGACCGACGGTGAGGTATCAACCGTGACGACAACGACCCGTGTCGCGGAATCGACTACGGTTGACATACCACCCAGTAAGTATGCCCAACTCGAAGGTTGAGTGCAGCCCGACTAACGTTGTGATGTCTGAGTTAAGTCCAAGTAACCGGCTGGGGATTCTGGCCTGTGGTGGTCAACGGACCTACTGACAGTCGAATAACCGTTCATCCCACGCCTCGCCTGCCCCCAAGTACCGTGATCATCGCGGATGACCCTAACCCTCTGGGTCAAAGCTCTGTTACGCATGCTCCGCGGCCGCGCACAGTCATCATTCCACCTTACCCCTGGGATACTAGGCCCTATGGCAAGGACGACAGCGACGACAACCTCATTGTTCCAAAGCCCCCGGCAATCACCGTTGCCGATGGTCCCGTGAGTCCCAAGTGCACAAACGACTGTGGTAAACTGTGCAGCGATCGCTTTTGCGGCTGTACATGGGCCTGTAGGGGAACCGGGTTCACCTACAGCGACGTTGACACCGACGACGACAACAATAGCGGTAGCACGACCGACGACGGAGGCTCTAGTCCGGGCAAAGGGTCCGACAATAATAACAATCCAGATGAAGATGACGATGACGACGACGACGATGACGGAGGAATCGATTTTGGATGGGGCGGCATCGACATTAACGGCAACTCGCCGGACCCCAATGCCAACAATGAAGACTCGAATAAGAGCCATACCTCCAAGACCACCTCCACCTCCACCTGTACCCGCAAGACAGTTACTGATGCTTGGGTCTCGTGCACATCGCTTGACTCCAGCTCAACCTCCTGCACCACCACCAGCACCCTCGTTGAGGTCGGCTGCTCCGTCACGGCCACGACCACGACCACGACCGCCACAGGCGAGAGCTGCCCCTTTGTCAACCCCAACGACGACCAGGGTAGTGACGGTGGGGCGCTGGCCGACAGCGCCTGGTCCAGTATTGCGGGTCAATCCTCAGGGTGGTACACGTATCTGGGGTACACCGCAGACCCAGCCACAACCGCCTCGACCACCACGGCGCGTAAGACCAGTGCTAGCACCACAACTACAACCACGGCAACCGTAGCCGCCTCAACCTCCACTAATACCAAGCTTCCAACCTACGGTGACAAGTCTGCCTGGGCTCTGTTCCTCCGCGAGGAGGTGGGAAACAACAAACACACCTACATCTACCAGGGTCTGGATTACGAGTATGTCGGTCTCGCCGAGAGTAATTGCCCGCGCGAGACCACCTGGTCCCGCAGCGTGATGACCGGCACCAGGAAGCCCACCAGTCTGACCGGGATCACGGTTTTTGATGATACTTGCTCGCTCACGGCTGACTACGCGAATGTCGACCCCACAAAGGATCAGACAGTCGGGACGCTCTCGTGCAACAAATACGCGGACGCGACCTGCAAGTATGAAGAGACGAGTGGAACATGTGAGACGGGCCAGATCACAGGGACGCATATCTTGTCCTGCTACTGGTGAAAAGCAGCCTGCCGCTTGGGCGGAATACTATGCGGTGGATCCACGAGGATTGGAAATGAAAACAGTCTCTCGTTTTCTTTCTCGTGCAAAATGAACTTACCTTATATACCACACTTTAGACTACATAATACTATTCAGGAGCCTTGGATTTGATTTCATTCTAGATTCGTGAAACCTTTTATTCCGATCTGAAGGGAACGCCTGAAATTCGGATACGTTTAACTGGGGAGTATTTGAGTGATATCCTCTATCTTACTACCCCTCAAAGCTACTGATGTAAGAATCATATCGCTAACATATAGAAAAGGACAATAAGTAATGATTTGGTTGAAATTTGAGTCCACGATATTAAGTAGGCAAGATAGCCAAGAAAAAAAGGGGGGGACTCAGGGTTTTGTCAACCTCATGACGTTCTTTGGGTTTGCGGGGTACTTAATATAGATGTACCCTCCCCCGGCCTCCATCGCCCGTTTCCAGTTTAGACTCAGCTTTCTTACATCCTTATTCACTATCTCTAATCAATGATGAGTTCAAGTCAGTTCTCGCAACCACAGGATGCGTATTAGCAGAACCCTTTTGTTGAATCTTTTCCATGGCCAGATCAGGGCGGCCACCATCAGGCGCACCACCGACCGACTTGCCCTTTACGCCGGTTGCGTACGTCTAGTAACAACTATGCGGACCGGCTGGAATGAAAGCTGCAACTCGAGGGTTTCAGAATCTGGGAGTTTGTGGTTTACCGGTGCACCTACCAAAGCAAGTCTTACTGGGACGAATTCATGCGTCGATTTCTCTACCACGTCCCAAAAAAAGCTGCAGCCTAGCAATGGCCTCGACTTGGACGCCTTCCGCCTGAAGGCCTTCCAGGATCCATCTTTTGACGGCGCGACCGCGGCAGTTTACCGAGAGCAATTCAACAAGTGGGCTGCGGTGGCAGTTCAAGAAGAGCATGGCAAGACCCTCGAAGAGGCCCTCATGCGTTTAACGTGCCGGTGATCAGGTCCTTGGAATCAGTCCTGAATGCCCCAGACCCAGCCGATCCGGAGACGATCGGTAATTTCAGTGGCTATGTGCGGATAGTGAATGGCCAGTGGTGTCCAGAGTCTGATTCAGACGAGGAGGCAGAGGCCGATAATGTGCTTTAAAACGAGGCGGAGTTCCAAGGATTCTATCTATTGGATCACTTTACATGGGAGGAATACAATGGGCGTTCTCCGGAGGTCATCAGTTTTCAGGCCCTTATCTGAAGCTGGCACGGGGAGATGAGAGGGTAGGTTTGATGGGTGTCGAGTTATCAAGAGACGCCATATTTTATTCCGAGTCGCGATCTTTGCTATCCACCCTTCCTCTATCTTGTCTTTCTGCCATGCCTCTGGAGTCAGAAGCAATGGACGCCGTCAATGGAAGTTCCATGAAAATATGATTCAATTATAATGAAATCGTGTTGTGTATGATGTCCACCAGAGTGTCTAAGCTTATGTCTTTGTACAGTACAATGAACCTTAACAACTTTGTCGCTGGGAACTCGACGAGGTTCTAATCGCTGAAGATTTCACACCTATCTGACCATGACAAAAGGAACGGAAAAAAAAAAAAAAAAAAAAAAAAAAAAAGAAAAAAGAAAGTATGAAGAAGAGCAAGGCACAGCGCTGATCATGTCCCAGAGACTTTTTTCTTTGCTTCTCGTGCGAGT